CCACAATTGGTTAATTTACCAAGGACATTATTAATATCTGCAAGACGATTGAGCGTTGGTGATCGTGATCAGATCATTACTGGTGTTGCCAGTAATATCAAACTTCGGCGTTTCGCTTTACTAGAAAGTTAAAATTAGAATAATTTTGCCGAAATGGACTTATGGGTTTCCCAGCTAAGCATTCCACATTTAGTTGACTTTCAGCAATTACATTCAATTGTTAACCCTTTGGTAACTTTTTGATGTCACTGCTTCATTCACTAACAACAGCTTCAGAAGACTCCACTATCAAAAACATGTCTACCTCACCATTATTCTATAAAAACTCCTTATATCAAATCCAGAAGTGCTATAAATTGAAGGGCAAATGCATCAGCTATAAAGTTGTTAGCGTTAATAGCAGAAGTTCGCACAAGCTCCTTTAAGAAGTAGCAGGGCGCTAAAGAGGCGACTTAAGGATTATTCTTTTAAATGTTATTTTCAAGGCCCAAGAAATGTTTTGTTAACAAGATGATTAACACATGATGTGAATTTGGAACTGTGCGGATACTTATTGTGTGTTGAATCAAATCGAGTTTGAGCAATATTCGAAATTTCAAACCTCAAGTTTTGGTTTTTTAATTAAAAATATTAATAGGTACTACAGCCGATCCAGGGTCCCAACCAATTGCTTTAAAGCAAACCCCAAAACATGCAGATTAGACATAGAGCAGACTTATTTTCGCGCCCATTATACTGCTATGTAAAGGAATTCGTTTGATTGTCGAATCGCAAGTTCTGTTTCATCAAACGAAACCCAATATTCATAACATAACCGATGATGTAGAGGTAAAAGCTGTATTGGATGCCATTCAGTTGTTTGGAGAATTATGTTGATATCCAAATATATATATCCAAAATCACAAACGCTTCAAATGCATTTCACATTAAGTCAGGGGTAGGGGAGCGTTGGAAATACCACTGAACTAAAAATCGTATATAAAATAGTTAATACTTATTGGTTTTCGGTGTAATACTTGTTTCGACTTTGGGTCTTACCTAAACTCGTTAAGCGTCCGCGGCGTGCTTCAAAGAACCTCTTCAAAGTTTCATGTTTAAGGATTTAAAATTAAACTAGAATTATTGAGTTACAAAGCTATATGTCCTGATTCAATTTGCATTATCAAAATAATTATGAAGACTTTTTTATTGTTGCATGACTTATATTTTTGTAGTAAAAGGATTGGCATTATCCAGATAAGTATTACGATTTTCCGCATTTATTTATTGATATCTGATTACTTTATTTCCTGGAATAAGTTGAACAATAAGCTTTTTGATTGCCACCGTCGCACATTCGCTTCAGATGTAATTGAGTATTTTTAATAATACTAGTTTGCACAAAGATTTAATGGAGAGAATGAAAGCTCTAATTATGCGCTAAATGTGCCGCACCGGCTGATTCAAATGTCGACAAAGTGGACAATGTATATGCAACAAACATTGTCAGGCTTTGACCTGTAATTAGAGGGATTCGGGATTCACGTAAAAATTAGGGCAAAAATTAATGAAGTAAAAAAGGCGGCGATTCCTGGAAGCGAGCGCTAATTCTAGTTGCGAGGCATAAAGAGCTAATTGGCAAAAAAGCCTCACTATAAAAGCCGTTATGGTTGTAACTAACTTTTTATTTATCCTTGTACCAAAACATGCTCTTTTCTTTATTAAGTGGAAATATTGTTCATGGTGCAAATAGGAGCTTTTGTTCAAAATTACAATAATTACCTATCTTCCACTGTACCTTCCTTATAATGTCAGACAACATAAATATGAAAACTATGGTCCACAATTACTTTTCCAAGGTAGTAAAATGTTTGCAGCTAGAAAAAAGGGGGTGAACGTACAATTTGCAGCAAAAACAAAATAAGGGTCTCAAACCCTGTTTTTATAAGAGAAAAAATTAACCGTTACTTTCATTACCAGAGAAACATATCTAGTTATGAACTAACAAACCATTCCGAGCAAGGATGTTAGCAAACAAACCACGGTTTTATGAATTAACTCACTTGTGTCTTTATATTGAAAATGTTGTGTTTAACATTAATTTGACTTGTACTTGTACGGCTGGCTTATTGCCAGAAATCCTATACTTATAGGAAACTGAAATCGGTAGCTAAACGAAAATCTACTATCTATTATTAATAATAAAATGACAATTCCACTCATCTATGTTGAAGTTAGAATTTTGTCGGCAATATAGCGTTCGCAATACAGCTCAGAATATTGCAGACTTGGCTCTATCCACTTGCAGTTGAAAACAACAAGATATTAAAGCAGCTATTCAACCAATAAGCCAATATAATGATATAGTGCAGGCAATGATTTCAGGTGACTTCTACCCGTATATGTTTGAAATTATATTGTTTATTTAATCAAGATCCTTCGAAGAAAAGTGCAATAAAACCGCGAATTGAATTTGTAAAATTGGCAAAATTTTGTTATGAAAGAAAAAGCTGACGTATCAAAAGCATTGCTTTTTGTGGTCATCAACAAAAAAGCAATTTTGTGTCTTCTAGTTTGATTGACATATAATAATAATAATGATAATAATAAATTCCATTTAAGCATCTTGATATTAATTGTATAAATTCAAAAGTACCTGACAAATTAAGATTTTAAAACTCGCGTTTAAATAAACTTTTAATTAGCATGAGTTCATCTCGTTTTAAAATGGGAATTGCTGACCAGTTTTCGTACCCCTTTACCGACGCAAATGAATGGGTTTACTATAAATGATGAAATTCATTTACGAAGTTCTGTATGCACATCGTCAGGTTTCAACCTCTAATTAAAGAGACTCATGTTTCACAATGGAATAAATAGGGCGGAGGCTGATGGTTGAGGGGAAACTTTAAAATAGGCATCGAAGAGATTTAAAATGTTTTGATTTAGCTGTCACCGAGCTCTGAAAAGGGTTCACTTATTAACGTCGGCCCTTCAATTGAAGTTGCATCCGATCGGCATAATTGGTCATATCGAAAACTGAATGAGAATTTTATATTACATGAAATGGGTTCAAATTAATTTATTGTAAATAACCTTTGTTGCTTGTCATTCAAAATCAATCCGTGTTGTTTCGAACTCGGATTGAAATAATTGATAACATGGCATCTAAATAGTCTTAAACTCAAACTTGTAAATTACTTGAAGCATGTCATTTATTAGCTATTTGGATAATTCCAAATCTCGCTACTTGATGAAGACTGCTTCGTTATTAATATACATTTTGTTTAAGTATTTACTAGTATTTGTACAAGGAGTGCTTAATGCAAGCACAATATGTTAGACTTGCGTTTGTTGTCTTGTACCCCCCTAGTTATTTGGACATGTCAAAATATTGTGTTACCTTGCAGACCCCGGTGTTAAATCTAGATTTTAAGCTTCTAAAAAACGGGAAAATGGATTGAATTTCAACGAATTATCAGTCAGAAGAAAATTACAGTCAGGATGCAAAAATTTAAAAAATAACAAAATGCAATTTCTAACGAACAACTGAAAATTAAAAATTCAACAACACAATTAATATTCAGTATTTGAGCCTCAATTAACAACGCATTCACACGTCTATCCATTTCAATAATCAATGGGATTCATGTCAGACATAGCCGGCCATTCTAATCTTGTGATTTTTCGGTTTCCTAATACTTCTTGGACATCTCTGGTGCGATGTGTCCTGGCATTGTCATCCATAAAGATGAACTAGTCCCCTAATTCATCACGTAGGGGTATAATTATAAGAATAATAATATTTGCATGATAATGTGCACCTGTCATCGACCCCGATATGTGAATAAGTGAGGTTCTTCTATTGAACATAATACCCCCTTCCCCCCAACATGTGCGTTCCACCATGATATGAAGAAACTGCAACGGCTGTACGAAGCCTATTTCGGCGTCCTGCTTCTCTCAAAACTTACTAATCATCGATTGGTAATCATCGCTGACCAATCGAAACCGCGATTCATCGGTAAAGAGCACATTTCTCCACTCTGCCAAGCGCCAGTTTTGATGATTTCGTGCCCATTGTAAACGGGCGCTTCGGTGGTGATGAGTTAACAAAGGAACTCTTAAGGCCGTCTGGACCGCAATCCTGATTGTTAAAGTCTTCTACGGATTGTAGTACTGGATCATCATATCACACCATTATACGTTCTCTGGAATTGGGATCTTAGTGCCGGTAGGGTGACTCAGCGCTCTCTACGGGCTGAATGGAAAATATAGCGATCTTCTCGTATCGTGGTAACGTGAGGAAGACCTCCTCCAGGTCTGCTGTTTACTTCATCAGTCTCTTCATAACGTCTAATTGTCCTGCTAACTATGCTTCTAAGAAAGTTCAGCGTATTGGAAATTATCTGCCTAGATAAACCTTCTTGCCTCAGAGCAACAATTCTAATCCTATCGAAAGCTGACAACTCGTTTCTAGGCATGCTATACGATTCTTGCACGGTTCAGATACTAATGCCGATTACTAGTGACCAATATAAAGGTGCAGTATTTACAGCAACACGGTTTGAAAACGGTAAACATTTTTTTTTTAAATTCCATCATTTCTTTTACTTGTAAACAAGTGGGTTTTCTACCAATAAAACAATTTTGTATAAATTAAACGTATGTAGTAAATACAGGGGGTGCAAGCTTTTCCAAAGTAACTGGATAAGAAGTACTTGTATGTCTTAACATTCTCACAAAACAGGTCATGATTGATATGACAAAAATTACAACTTGATGATGATGATCGTAGGTTACAGTATTTCGAAACTATGTTGTAATGCCTAAACGATCCTGAAACTTTGTTACGACAAATTATGTTCGATTGCTCTGCTATATCCTTCTATACAGGGTGTCCCAGTTCCGCTAACACCCTATACACTGAATGTGTATCCATTCACACAAACAATTCACAGCATATTAATCACAATGGAAAGTTTTAATATTGTATTTTGAAGTTAATTTGAGTATACAATTATTGAGCATTTTTATCAGTCACAAAACAATTAGTTATCTCCTTTCTTTTGGTCTCAACGCTTAACTGGAGGATGCTATTCTACGACCGACACTTCTACGGCCTGTGATTTTTGATCATATGATTAGCAGGAGAATTTCATATTTGGAGTTTCCTGAAATTTGTTCTAAAAATTTGAGCTCTCTTTTAAGCGGTATACAATACTTCTAGTTCTTTGTTCATTATTATCAAAACTTGTTCAGTTTCAGTCCCATTCATCAGGAGGTCCTTAGTAAACTCCACGCCGGTGAAATATTCTTGTTCTTAGGTGCAGAAATAAAATAGTGGCAGTTATTAGTTTATTTTTTTATTTTAATGAATAGTGTTTTAGTTACCTCGATTATTTCGATTATTGCTAGGATTTCATTTCTGCGAGTACTGCTTTTACTAGTTAAAGTACCAAGATGCTTACTGACACTTGCCCGTGTGTGAATTTTCATACAGATTGATGTTGGGATCTATTGTCAGCTGGCGTCTGATGCTATTTGATTCTTCATATACTATCATCATCTTTGTTTTGCCTATATTTGTGCATAGATCATAATGTTTATTGATTGGTGTAACTCTGTCCACGATTTTTGCGGGTCTTTGTGAGTACTTACTTGCAGTCAGAACGATGTCATCGGCATACGCGACTTTATTGATAGCTGTTATTAAACGTTTGTGTTGTGTAAAAAGTTATTAAGCTACAGTAATCAATAAATAATAAATTAATTGTTTAAACCCGATTTTCGTCCTCTTATTCAACTATTTTAATCGTGTAACCTACTCTTCTAATAATTTGTACTATAAGGAGACCCAATACAATAACTTTGAGTAAACACTAACCTGAAAACCCAAATCTCAATGCAGGCAGGTTTAATTATTTCTGCAACTTTGCATTATTCTATTCGATTATTCGAAAAGCTCTGGACTACAAGCAACAAAGTAGGATACCGTTGAATAGAGAATTGAACGCCTTTTAAATCCATGTGCCACTTGACCCCCATTCCCATTTAAGGTTCTAAGGGTGACATCTACCCCTCCTAGGTGGTTGAAATAGGAAAGCTAAAAATATTCAATTGAAGTGTCCCCTCACAAATAAACTTGATGTGGCTTTCCGGTTTTTCATATTTTTTACTGCAAGAAAGATATTAAGGGTGGGAAGTTTTCAAATGGACACCCAGTATGCTAGTATGCTCCAAACCAAAAGATCAAATTCTTCTATATGCAATGCAATCTATCTGCATCGGTGACAGAAAACAGTTTGTTTAAGCTGGATCGAGAATCAGGGAGTTTTTGGCCACAAGTTTGTAGCATACAAAATATGTAGATATTTCTTGGGCCGACATTTGGTCCATATTTTAAACATCAAAATGATCTTGAAAGAAGGAGAAAAGTGTTGAGTCACTGATGTGTAAAATCTTATAGAATGACAATTGGAAGCAAAAGAATTAAAATGTGTGATTTTTAAGTGTTTACATTTAATTTAATCCCTTCAGATAAAATAAAATTAGTTGTGTCAAAAGTTTTATTCTGTTTTCATCTTTTATTTGATGTGTTTTAAATGCTGTTATCATCATAGTTATTTTATTACCTTTTTTTCTACGTTCAGTACATTTGTCACTAGTTTCTACGGCCAGAAATTATGTTTTCTTTATTCGAAGGCATGCATTTACCGTGCCTTACTGTTTTCTTTAAATTTTCTCTCACACAATATTCGCAGCAATCGTATAGGCATTTGAAAACTGTAAGCAATTTCCTGTACAAAACTAGAAGATGATAAGGAAATTGTCGATCCGTAAATGTATTCTAGTGGCGTCCAAGTTGACACTATATTGCTTTTGCACGCCGCACACTGCCGGTATTTGCCGAGGATATTGCCTCTTCTCTTAAAGGAAGAAACATAAAAAGGATTCATAAAAGGCTTCCTTTTGTGTGTGTTTAGTTTCGACGTTGCAAAATTTAATTTACTTTCTGTATAAATCTCCTTTAATGGCGCATAAAATTTCTTCAGTATTCAGACCCTTGACATATTGTTTTTAAGTATCAACCTTTTGTATGTTTGTGGGTTTCCGGTGAGACTATGTCCGTTACTACACGCGCTTATCTAATGCTTCTATGGATCAAAATATGAAAAAACAACTATACTTCGGCAGGCAGTCATTGTACAGAACATGGCGTTGAAAATCTTTAACACCCAATGGGTTTATTTTTGAAACTAACCTATACTAGGAAATAGGTATCGGGAAAACAATTTGACGATTTTTTTTCTTTTCATTGGATAATTTTTGTTGTTTCTCTACCTTCCTCTTTTGCAAGTAGTCGTTCGCGGTTAAAGCTTTTGTAAACCTTTTATCTGGCCGACGTCATTTAATGTTTTCTTCTTTTCGGAGGATCAAGCCAAAGCTTTGAAATCGTACGTGTATGTGGCCAGAACCTGTATATTAATTTCATAATTAAAATTTTCTTTGGCACTTAAAACTGTACATTTACTTGGAATATTCACTCATTCATTTAAAATGCATAAATTAACTAGTCATGTGGATGGGTTATGATGATTTTTGTTTAACAATGTTTATGTGAAAAGTACGGTACAGTCAATTGATAGGGATACACGGATAAACTAATTGTTTTTGGGCAGAAAATAATTAGTGTCGAGTCACGTTTGTTTTAAAGTGCTTGGCAACTTTGAGGCAAAATGATTTGTTCGAACGTATATTTCGTTACATACTTATGTTAGGTTTTTTTCTTGCACGACTATTCGGTTTGCAGTATCTTCAACGTTTATCGTGAAAGGCGGAATCTTAAAGCTACTGTAATATAAAGATTAGCACATGAAAAGCGGGCTTGGTTTTGTGAAGCGTTACGCAATGAATCTGCAATTACATTAAAAAAATTATTTAAAAAATAATACAATATTAGTTTAAGCATCCTCATAAAAAGTTATAAAGTACTTTGACATGTGCAAAGGTGAATTTGGCAATTGCAAGCTTAGTTAAATTTACGTCCCAGTCAGACCCATTGCATTATATACGAACTAAAATTGGTTAAAATAGTGTCAGATTACCATGTCTGTGGTTGAACCCGATTCTTTATTAATTTTGTCTCATTTATCGAAATATTAACATTACACAGTGTTAACATTTAATTGAAAATTATATACTATTATGCCAGGCGATTACTATAAATGTGGGATTATAGTTGTATTAAAATGCCAATTTTGGAGTGCGATATTCGACAATCATTCAGATGTAACTGCAGCATGGCTGACTAGATTCCGTTTTTTGTTATAAAATTGTAAACTAAAGTATTATTCAAACAATTGCATATGGGGGAATATTTAATTGAATTATTAACTTAATATTAACAGGCTTAATAATTATATTTGGCAATTTATTATAATTTCATAATTATTAGTATTATATTATCGAAATTATTTGACAAATTTAAATATAAAACACAATCAGTGTCACTACACACGTTTAACAAATTTCCTAATATACTTTTTTTAATGTTTTAATTATTCAAAACTATAACTGCTACGTCTAGCATACCTAATATACAACGTATTGTTGTTTGTGGGTATAATTATTTTTTAATCATAATTCAACCGAAGCTAAAATGCTCTTAGAGATTCTCATTCGTTGATTGCTTCTTGAGTGGGCTCTTAAATATTAACAATATATTGCAATTTTCTGTACGGAGTGTTGTAGAATTCAACTAACAAAACCCTAGGGGAGGTTCACTTCATATGACTATGAGTTCGCAATTGCTTTACCTCAGAGATGTAAGTTGTTACATTACTCACCATTCGCAAAAATATTTAGCTGGTTGAAATGAGATGTTCATAGTGTTTTAAATCATCGTAGATCGTATATTATCTTAGAATTTATGGGATAAGTATATTGGATAATGCAGAATTTTCAAATGCGTACTCTCATCTTCTCTGTACTGATTTTCTGTAAGGTAGTAAATGTTTGATATTAACTCATTGCTTCTGAAATTTCACAAATAATCTGCAATAGGACCAAAATATGTAGAACGTGTGTGCCGAACTAACACATTGCTGAATACCTCCTGAATATATGCTTTTACCCATATTGAACGTCTACTAAACACTACTAACAACTAAATTATCCTAAGCATTTATCACTTCAACTGGAAAACACTCTGTATATATCTTAATTACATTTGCATTAAGCAGTTGAAGTTATTGAATCTGTCGAAATGAATAGATTGGTTAAAAAAAGGTTGTTATAGAGATTACCATTAATCCACTTTTTTTTAATATCCAAATGAGAAGCGGTCCTAATTCTAGCATGAATATGTGCCTCGGTCCTCAAAGCCTAGTCTGTACAAAGCAGGGTCCACCGCATGTAGGTGAGGTTGACATTTGGACAGGAGAGGCTGTTTGAGACGCATCACTATCCCATAATATCACGTCCATCCGTGTTATCTCCGCCCCAACAGCGAACAGCGAAAGATATATGAACTTAAATAATTTAGATATTTTTCACAAATTTTTCTGCCCTTATTTTATTATATAATTTAAGGGTTTGAGCCCTAATTAGGAATGTTGAATTTTATTAACTCAAACTAAAAACTAACATGTCACTCCAAAATTGAAACTGTTATCAAGCAACAAAATAGACACTAATAATGAAGGGATTTCAGTTTGCGTGGTTCAATACAAAATGGTGTAGTTTTTCAATGAAAGGGGTTTGTAAAGAGTTTAAAAAGAACGAATTTTTATGAAACGGTAAATTAAAAACTATGATTTAGCTTTAGGAAACTAAGAATGAATTAATGTATACCAATTTTAGACACTCAGTCAAAGTGCATTTGTTGTTAATATGGTAGTATATAGTACACATTGCCATATCAATGAATTTTACGAGTTTCATATATCAAAACAATCTGCCTGATAGAATTTCCCAATCTTCTCGTTTCGACTTTTATTGTTAGCCAAATGGTCACTTGCAGTACAGAACACGATTATCAGTATCTATAAAAAATACGCTACTGTTTTCAGTCGGCAGATAAAATCGCTTATTTACATACCAGAAATACCGAAAATATCCCACAGCACGAAACAGACAACGCAGTGGCCGCTTTGGCTCCGATATCTGCATGTAGAGTGGCAGTTTTGCAAGAATTTCAAAGGTATTCATGTTAAAAGGGGGACAGGCATCTGCATTACATTGTTAACATATTATTCCATATCCAACGCGTACTACATAGATATGCAATACTTTAAGAGTTTTAAAAACATAGGTTGATATAAAATTTTACATGCATTTATAATCAACACTGCGAGCGTATAAAATACTCAGCAAAATGTTCTTGCTACTGATCTACTACCAACCAAGGATTGTGTACATACTGAGATGCCCGAAATATTGTGAACTGCAAAAATTAGAGAGCCTCTAAAAATCAGGAAAATGTGCAATGTGAAAAATAACATGTTAACAATGATTCAAATTCAGAACTGCTGTAACAAAAAGCTTCACAGGAATATGAGTAAAGTCATGGCTTGAACTGATTATAGTGCAAACAAGTGACAACTCAAAACAAGTTTACTACAGTACAATATTTGGCATTGCAGTATCTAAAATTGTAATAATTTCTAATCACTTATCATTTCAATAGTCAGGTTCGTGAAAACAAAATACAAAACATGTTGAATTGACCTTTAAAAAGTGCATTTACTCTGACTTTGATTAAAAATCATTTTGAAGGAAAACTGATTTTCTAAGCAGCAGTAAAGGTAACTGACATATCAGTATTATAATCCTATATCTGGGCACTTATATATTCTAATTTTACCTCGACGGACCTTGTTCTATGGAATTGAGAAATAAATGATAGAATACCGCCATGTTTAAGAAATACGACTGGCAAAACTTTAGTAGCAGAAACATGAAGTCTAATTAACTGTCCATTTTTCTGGCGAATTATTTAACTTTTAGTCAACCGTTAGATCCCTTCGAGTTTTCACTTAATCACCACATATGGTGCGCAAAAATGAAGACAATAAAAACTTATCCCCAATTAGAAATTGATTTCCAGACCACTTTAAAAGACAGGCAATTTATAAATAATGCTTCTCAGAATAACACGTGTTCGTAGATGAATATCTCTTCATTTTAACCACAATAATCTTGTTGTGCATGTTTAAGATAATATTTTTAAATCAACAATGTTTTGTTTAACATACTATTGCTTCAAAATGTGTTAGTTGCAAAATATTTTTTGCAATATCATATCCAAAGTTGCTAGAGGCGTTAACACACATTGTAACGACTCACAATTGGAAACAAATATTTTCAAAGAGCATAATTTTTTGTCAAGTTTTTTACTTCAAGAAAAGAACAACCTTTCTAGTCGACACATTAAAAGTACAATAATGAGACAACAAATTATTTCATGAAAATAAATCATATATAATACATGATTTTTTAAATAATATTTTGTCTGTTTGCAATTCAATGAAACGGTTTAATTTCTGTTAAAATCGGCCATCACTTAAATCCATATGACAAAGCTGAACTGAAGCTGTTTGTTTTTAAAATGGCATTCCCACGCACGCAACTTATCCACATGCATGGAATAGGGATGCAATCCCTTTATCGCCCACCCTGCATTCGACACGGATATGCTTTTACTAGTCAGCGTGTCCACCTCTGAACATGTCAAACTAATCACATTATCTTCTGCTAAATAGCCGAGTTTTTCGCTATTAACGATAAAGTAGACTTCATACAGCTTTTAGCCGATATTAAGACGATAACTTAATTTGCAGTTGAAAATGGGAAAACAGCGCAAGGTCGAGCTTTAAAATTAAGTTTGGAAACCTGTAATGATAATTTTCTTGTTGCATAGTTGCAATGTCTATAGGAATCGGCATGTAGATTACAATGAAATAAAATCAGTTTGATACATCAATTAATTATTTTTAAAGTAAATGTTCAGTTTTAATTTCTATAAGTGAAAGGCATTTACGGCAGTCTGACTAAAATTCTCGGACTCCGTACTTTTGGGAACAATTTGGAAACATACTACTAATTTATAGCAAGCATTAGGATACTTAGTTGTGGAATTGTGGAAAATATAGGCAGTTTACGTTGCAAATTATATTTTGTTTATGGATAGTTGTATAGCGGGTGATCAGAAAATGCATTAGGCAATTTTTAAGGACGATTCTACATGCTAAGATAATGGTAGTAGGTCATGTAACAAAAATTCGAAATCTGAATATTTTTAGAGTTACAACTCATTAAATTTAATTTTTTTACTTGTTCTTACTTTTACTAGTTTTTACCTGTTGTTAACATTTTTTTATTAGTAATCTAACTTTCTGATAAAAAATGTTTCTCTACTTTACCACTAGTTCGCACTTTGCCTGAATCCAAATTTCATTTTTCGCATATCTTTTTCGAAAAGCCAAATGTTGGAGTTAGAAAATACAAGACAAAGAATGTGCTCCTCATACGACTCGAAAAACCTATTCGTTAAGGAGCAAATAGACATCAAAGTTTTTACCAGTCTCAGCCTTTTGTCCGTGGATTTAATTGCAATCGCAGCAAATCAAGTCGGCTCGTTTTAAAATGTTTCAAATTTGACAACTTATTGTAATTAATGTATTACTGTTCAATTTAGACTAAGTTTTTGTGCTACATTTGAATGCAGCATTTGAATATTCTGCGAGATTTATTTTAATTTAATGGTTTTAGAGCACAAAAATTTAGTATAAATTGAACGGTAATACAATAATTACTACAAATTGTAAAATTTGACTCATTTGAAAGCCAGGCGACTTGATTTGCTGTGATTCCAATAATTTAATTATTAAATACCAGGCCACTGGATTGAAGTAATAAAAATTGTATTGTCGAATTGCTCCTAATCTAAGACGCATTTCGAGTCATGTGAGGAGCACATTTTTTGTCTAGTATAAAATGAGATTTGGGTTTCAGGTAAAGTGCCATCCATCTAGTGGCAAAGTAGCAAAACAAATTATGATCAGAAAGTTAGAGATCACTATGGTGAAACTCTGTCGGGATGATCAATTTGAATAAATGTTCAGAATAGGAAGAAAAAAACAGTTTGAAGAGCGCCTGTAGCTCGGATAATACCATAATTTTAGCATGTAGAATCAATCTGAAAAATTTCCTAGCACATTTTCCGAACATCCTACATATTATCGCTGTTACTTTTGAATGTTGTAATTGTCTTATGAGCGGCTTTTTTGATGATGAACAAATCTGACGATGCACTTTTTATTTGGACCTTATAGAAACATTTTGATGGTTCATCAAATATTCGCTTGAAAACCGTTAGAGATTCTGCCAGTGGAAACAGTTTTCATAGAGAAAATATTTGAATAAGGCATTTAAAGTTCGAATAAACGACTTCTTTTGTAAGATTTGATAAGTTTCTAAAAAGCGGAGGGATTTTAATGCCTCTCTTAATTCATGAAAGTGTTTAAAATACAATCGAGTTGAAATCAATACATTAAAACACTTTTCAAAATTTTCTATGTTTTGAAATTGTGCGTATCTTACCTTCGTGACTTTTTAATATCCGGCATTTTAGCTTTAATTAGCATACTCCCAGCTTTCCAAGGAAATTTTAATAGAAGTTCATTTAAGAGTATTTACTTTATTAATGTTGTTTCGGGACAGAATTTGAAACTGATCATTTTGAAACACTTTTGAAATTTGTTTTTAAACTGTTGCTATTGCTTAAATACAACAATAATAAAAAGTGAACAACAAGCCCTGCCCCAAAAATCTTCATTCTTGCAATGGTTCTTTCAAAATATTAAACACGAAATTATACAAAAATGGCATCTGTGTTAGATTTTTAGTTTACATTTTTTCCTATGTCTATTTATTGGAATCCCTGTGCGAAAATACCTTAACATACGGCTTGTAAAATGTATCGAATATCATTTTTAGTGTAACATGTCGATAGATGTGAAATGTGATATCCGCCAATGCCAACACGAATGAAAGATGGTTTAACGATTTATGCTTTTAGGCCGAAGCCCAAAGCTATGAAATCGCCAACGCAAACACATAACTCTATACGATTAATAAAGCCAATATAAATATATTTAGAAGTCACCTTTCAAATTAGTTATCTTACTGTTTAAGAGAGTTTTGAAATGAATCTGCTAAACCGTAAAACAGGTACAATGTTTCGTAGCTTTGAGATGTTCCCGACAGAAAAATAAATTAAAAATAATAAAAAATAAAGCCTCATTTGAGGCCATTTCTCTATGAAAATTACTGCTATAAGATTCTTTGACAAATGGTATGAAGTGTTCATGTGCCCCGAATATAATGTTTTAAGGGCTGCGGCTTAAGGACAAAACATATAAGTTCATATATTGCCAAAGAAGCTTTTTCTATAAATTCCGTGCCGATATTCTCAGATACTGACTCTGCCAGCACCGACAAACTGAATATCATACAAATCCTAACTTACTCTTAATGGAATATTTTCAAAGAAAGCACTTTCAATAAAAAAAGTATCTTACTCAACTATAACGTTCCACTGGAAACTTGATCTCTAAACCAAAGAGCTAAACCGCATTACCCTATTAAATAAAATCCTTTTGAAGTCAACACGTTCTGCTTCTTTAGTTTTCCGGGCAAAAGGAAATAAAAACAACTGCAACCGCAATCAGTGTTCAAATGGGAGATTTTATTTGCCTTGGGAGTAACAACATCGAATTCCACTTTCTAGTTTACAAAGAAATACTCAAGAGTTTACTTCAAATTTTATACCTGCTTTCTTTTCCATCACGTTACTATTAATATTTAATGCTCTGAGGAATAAGGATTCCTTACAAGTTATTGACTCGTTAAAAACTCGTTGTTTAGTAAAACCTGCTAAAGCAGTTTATTTATTGTACTATACAGGGTGTTGCAGAATGATACAAAAATATATTAATATTTATTTGGATGGTAATCTTGTATATTATCCACACACTTATGTGATTGCGGCTTTTTTCCACAATTCCACATTTCCAATTTCAAATTACAAAAAATAATTGAAAGAATCGATTATTATTGCAAGACTTCTAAACACCTTTAGATATTTGCACTTGATTATGAAATATAATCTTGCATAAGCTTGCCAATATTTTGATACCTAATAAATTGATTAGCGGGGTTAATTGATAATTTTAGTTTCAGTTATAGAAGATCCTTAAAAAACTGGCTGATGAATCGTCGGAACATCTTGAGTATTTTAGAAAACACACACAAAAGGTCTTCAGTCGATTATTTCCAAATCGCCTATAGCCCAATTCATTACTTAATCAGTAAAATCCACTTATTAGTAAGAATTGGAGAATAAGTA